GAGGAGGAGGAGAGGGAATTAACTTAGACGTTCCCCCTTTAGACGTCTGAGTATTTCAGCAAAAGCGTAAAAAGGAGCTTAACAACAATTCAGTTAGTATGAGAAATACGGCGAAGAGAGTAACGCGTTTGACCTCTCATGCAGAGGTTTGCGGTTCACTCTCGGCGTGACTCACGTATAGGTTTCTATTGACGCATTGCTAGCATTTTGGCGTCGAAACAGCAATAACGCGAGCCACTTTGCTTTTAACGCTAGGCTTCTCATACCAGTTACTGGTAGCCTCGGCTAGATTGAGTGCCGCACAGTAGGCCATGCATGTGTGTAAATACTTGCTATACAAAATCAACAATGTGGAGTACTGACATAGAATTTACTGCAATAGAATTCTAAAGTATTGTTCGCGATATTCTTTTACAGTCGATATCTTGATCAAACGGGGTTTGAGAACTCAGAACCAAGCGTCCGCAGTAATCACCCTGCACTTTCGGGAGATATACTATCTCAAATGTTCCCTAGTTTCGGATCTACCCTGGTAAGCCCTGTGTTCCACATAGCCCCAAAGGATGAAATAAAAGAAGGCCAGAACAGGGGACATAGCTGACTAATCCATGGATCACCCTGGCGTCTATTCCTTCAGTCGTTGAAGATTCCTTTGAGGCAAGGGCGAACAATGTTAAATTAACGTAAATCTTTCCCCTTATAATTGCACAAGGCATGCTCACACAGTCCACTGTTAATGTAGGTGCTACATTCGTGCGCAGGACACAGGATATTCTTGTCTTCGTGAGCTTTGTTCTGCAATCCCACTTGACTGATCTCATATGGTTAACTTACTAAAACAATTTTAGGTATGATGTGGTTATGCAACCGCGCCTGACGGACACAATACTGCTAGGAGTGAGGGCCAGGGGTTAGGGTTGGGAGATAGGGTTAGAGGTTAGAGTGAGGCGTTAGCTTTAGGGACTAGGGTTGGGGGTTGGAGTTTGGGGCTAGGGCTAGGGGTTAGGGCAACTATTTCTCAACCACTCCAAGTCCAAACGCACATTGTTTTTCTTTCTCATACAGTTACTTGAGCTCGTCGCCTGTGCGTTCCCCGGTCGCACCTGTAAAAACCCCTATCACCACCGGTCAGGTATTACAGGTGGCTGGGGTTTGTTTATCTCAGGTGCGGCTACACAACCACATCTGACCATTTCGTCTACTCGTCTTCAGAGACTAGAAACTCGTACGCACTTAGCTGTGTAGCCCGCCAATGCTACCTGTATGGCTGCGTGCAACCCGCACTTTATCGTGTCCTATGTCGCTCCGGATAGTTCTGTGCCATGACCGTTCCCCGTTAAGAGGGTTCTTAATACCAGGTAGAGGGGAGGCAAACTAATGTGGCGGCTGACAGAGCAATCGATGGACATCCAAAGGCTGGCGAGGTTTGGTCCTGCAGTCCCCACTGAATGATAGCATATGGATAGCTTCCTAAAACAATTTCAGGCAACATGTGTTTATGTAGCCCCATCTGCTGGACACGATACTGTAGGGGTTGGGGTTAAGGGTTAGGAGTTATGGCTAGGGGTTAGGGCTGGGGGTTAGAGTTAGGGGCAAGAATTAGGGCAATTATTTCTCAACCGCTCAAAGTACAACCGCTCATTCTCAGTAGTTTTTAGTTTGCATACAACTACTTGACCTCGTCGCCTTTGCGTTCCCCATACCCCCCCCCCTCCCCTGTAAAAACCCCCTTAACCACCGGTCCCGTATTGCAGGCGGCTGAGGTTTGTTTACTTCAGGTGGGGCTACATAACCACATCTGGCCCAATTCCAGTTAACTTACTAGTCGAGCCACTCCCTGGATTAGAAAAGGGAAACAAGGCTTGAATAGAATAGAATAGAATAGGTTTATTGTAGCGCCCCTTGGGCACTGTCAGTCCCCTTTGAACTCAGGAAAAAAACCTAAAACAAACTCGTCAATTTCAACTGCACTTTGAAGCACCCGCAGGGAAGCGCGTGTGAACCGATGCCTGGTGTAACTGAAGGTGGCTTGTACACACTCCCCGCGACACAGCCATTCGTTGGATTATGGGAATAAGAAGAGTGCAGTCCCAACTGGAAGACCGCGGAGGGAACCGCGTGTCGACTAGCAGCACATGGCCACTACAGTGGTGCCGACGGAGTTCCAATCCGTCTGAGCAATACCATTAGCAAACCTACTTAGCCTCTCGCCGTGTTGGGATAATAAAGAGGGAGCGAGCAGGGCTCGAAGCACACGCAGAGAAGCGCATGTGAACTGACACCTGATGTAACCGAGTCTAGCACTCCCGCCCCCGAGGCACAGACACTCGCAGGATTAAAGTAGTAAGGAAGGCGTAAACACGTGATATATACAAAGCCAATCTAATCGCACCTGCTAAATTGTTTGAGGGAGCTAACCATATGGCATCAATCAAGTGGTGCTGCAGGACCAAACCTCCCCTCCAGGCTTCTTGCACCTGCCTTGCTGTATGATCATCGCCTCGGTCAACGGCGTCAAAGTTAAAGACGTGTCCCGTTTGCGTGGCAGGGGTTGCCATCTCCGACTTCGGGCCCGACATTCACACGGCCAACTGATGCTTGTGCATTGGCGTTTGTAGCCGTCGGCCGGTTTCTTCAACGCAGCGGCACATCCCACAGCTGATAAACTGGACGAGACGAAGCTGCCCCAAGAACTCTCCAGAGCCATCGGGTATCCGCTGGCATTCGTTGAACAGCGGCGAATACAACAAAGGAGACCGAAGGAAAAGCATCGTCAGCCAAAATCGCTGCGGAACATTCCGAGTATGAAGGGAGTCTCCGAAGGGGTGGTTAGGTCCCTCGCGCCATTCGGAATAGGAGTTGCTCACAGGCCTAGCTCGACTATCCACAGGCAAGTGATTCGGCCAAAAGAACCCATCCCTGAAGAGGAGATGTCGGCCGTTGTCTGCGGGATTTCAGTGCGGCTGCGGGATGTACAGCTACGCTGAAGAAACCAGCCAACGGCTACAAACGCAAATGCAGAAGCATCAGTTAGCCGTGTGAAATTTGGACCCAAAGTCGGGGGTGGCAACCCATGTCACGCAAACGGGACACACCTTTAACTTTGGCGCCGTTAAGACCATGCACCGAGGCGATGATCATACAGTAAGGCAGGCGCAAGAAGCCTGGATGTCCGCCGACTGCTCTGTCAACCGCCACATTAGTTTGCCCCCCCCCCCCCTCTGTCTGGTATTACGAGCCCTCTTGACGGGGGACGGTCATGGCACAGAACTATCGGGAGCAACACAGGGCACGATGAACTGTGGGTCGCATACAGTCACACAGGCGGCATTGGAGGGCTACGCAGAAAAGTGTGCATGAGTTTGTGGTCTCTGAAGATGGGTAGACAAAGTAACTACCCAAAACTCCAGACCTCCAATAAACTTCTCCCGCTGAACACCTCCTCCTCATTTGACACGCCACCTGGGAATTGCATTTACACTACTATTATTCCAAATAGTCGATAGATTGGCATGCTTACTTGAAATAGAGTTCTTCAAACAATTTCGAAGTTAGGCATATGGGCATGCGGATTTGAATAGCGGACGGCGAGTGCAGAAGTTTGATAATTAACAGGGGCCCCTTCTTATGTTCTTTGATCAAATTATTATGGTCTTCTGTCGAGTCTTGTGGCAGGCACAGAAGACGGCTACGAGCGCATCAAGCCTTCTGCCAATGATTTTAATCAGCTTCATATTAACGTCTAATTTGCTCTGGTTGTGTTTGCTTTATACAGATGGACAAGTAGCATGTTGAGGGTACTGAATATCGGGTCTTCTGAACAATCGCTACATAAGAATCCCTAGTATTAAACTTAAGGGGTCTTAATGGATTTCAGCAGAATCTGCGGATGTACCAAAAATAAATCACAATCCCTAACTGCACACGACAAATGAGGCCCTTTGGTCACGAAATACTAGCAGAGAATCGAAACGTCAACACTTGGACTGTCTACACTACTTTCGACTTATTGAACACATTTTTGGCGAACAAGACATTGCCCTTTGGAGGGAAGTTACTACCGCATTCATGCAAAATGTCGATTATGTACGAAAAGCTCAGCGAAAGCGGAAGAGGGTTGAATTATGGTGAAGTCAACACCGCCTATAAGAGTATATCAAAGACTAAGGGAAATGATATGGGACCCCGCGACGTGACAGTTCTTAAGAGGTCGTGCTTATTCGAGACCGACTCAGGGTAGGTAGATGGAGATAGTGACAAAGACGTCCGGTTGAAAAGAAATCAATCAGGCGCTCTCATGATTTGCAGTACCAATTTCCACTTTTTATTATTTTCTTTTTATCCGGTCAAGTTATAGTGACTAAAACGGGGCTTTATTTATCTGATGGATTCATAAAGTGCGAATGTTGCTGAAGGTTTGGCAAACAAACAGGTGCATAAATCCTGGAAAAATCGTCGAAAAATAGGTTTCTAAAAATATTTCAGAACAGCTAGATAATAATTGCAATGCCAGTTACTCAAATCACCATGGATTTTGTGTATTGTCTTGCCAGTTGATGCTCGTGTTTCATCAAACATCACTCTGCGTACAAAATTTGCCTCCATTATCAAAATGTAGGAAGGACGTAATCATTTTGCTTTTACATGGGATGTAAGTCGCGAAGCTATGTTAGTCGACGAAGTTAATGTACTGCATCTTGTAATTTGGCAGGAGTTCCTCCGAAATCGTTATGGGTTGATCCAACTTTTCAGACTTTCGGGAGCCCTTTACGTCCATGTGTACCTGAAAGTTGAGAAAAAACACGTTGAAGCAGCAATTTGCTCGGAGCAATTTCCCATCTCGTTCTTTTCCGAAAGATTATTTTTTAGTATAGGCATAGAGTACATTTGTGCTTTAAAGGCCTTCTACATACAGAACACAATTATGCCAACACACCTGGTTAAGTGGGTGTAATTTCGACTGAAGCTGAATTTGAAACGCTATTTTGAGTTCAGGAATATCCGACGGATAGTTGTAATGAAGAAATGCAGGTATTCTGAATTGCCTAACCTATTGTTTTATGATGCCTAATTTATGAGAGCCGGTTTGACGCTGACCACAACATTTTGAATTTTACGGTGTTTTTTTTGTAACTACCTGTCCTCGTGCGTTTCCCATACTCACCACTTTACCTTTAAACTGCTTTTTGTTGAACACATCCATACAGAGTAGGGGACTAAGTGAACGTATACACAACCACAAGACTTCGCTTCGTCGAACTTTCATATGAGATCTGCGTTTCTGATATACTTCGATTGCGGAATAGAAGTGAACATTTTAGATTTATTTCGGAGCTCCGGGCCTGGAGCACAAAAAGCAGTCATGTAATGACTAGCTATCAATAACTGGGAAGTACTGACGATTACAGTTCTCAAGGTGGTGAGCCCGATGCGGTTAGGAGACCCCGAGTGAGGTTCGAAGAGGGAAAAAATTGAACAAGAGAAGTCTTTGTAAAAAGGATGGTTAAAAAACTTACGCGCAATTGATACTTAATCTTTGTATCCCCAACTTCGATGTTTGGATTCAGATCCGCCGGTACGCTCAGTTCCATAACGCAGCCTGCCTTCCGACTACTTTCTGGCATCTTTGTTCGATCATCAAGATTTGAATTCACTGTACTGCGACTGCTGGTCTCATCGTTGGGCGGAAACTTCTCACCCACTTTTGAGGAGAACTGTTTTCGAAAATCCTTTTTCATCGAGGCCTTCTTTGAGGTGCCAATAAGTTCAAGACCGGGTTCATTTTTAAAGTTGGCAACATCCCCATCGGCGCTCATTCCAAGTTCTGGCAGGTTTGTTAACTGGAACAATTCGAAATAAGCAGAATGAATGGCCTTTGAGCTGTTGGAGTAGACATAGAGCCTAATAGTGTCCGGTGATTGGAGATGGGTCTTTTCTACCTGCAAGGCAAGGAGATAAAGTAATACATTCAAAGTTAGCATTCTAGTGAGAACAAGTTTGAAAGCATTGGCTGAGATCACGATTTACTATTTGATCGTAGCTGCGTTGAGCACTGCTTTCCGGTTAAGAAAAACTCCTGTTCAAATCGAACAGGTTTTCGTATATTTATTATCTGTTCTGCCAGTAAACAGCGTTTGCTCACGTTGTCAATTGAGAAAGTCAACCGTTACCATAATGGATATTCATAAAAATTGAAATGCAAAGGCCATGAGAGGTGTGTTGAAGTTTACCGCTATTTGTTGAGATAACAGCGAGAACGAACAGAAGAAGAAATTCTAAATCAATAACATACAAGTTGCCCCGATCGTTTTGGCTCTTGCTAAGTCATTTGGCCATCCAACTCCTGCATTTGCGGCTCATGCGCTTTTGCATACAGATGGTAATAACGTATTGATTTTCTGCGAATACGAATTGTTTGAATGGGGGCTTTTTCGAAAGACCTATGGAATGTTGCTGGATAAATTTTGCCATAGCAGTTTTTAGCGTGCGAGTGGTCTTACTGAATGCTTCACTCTTGACTAGGCTCTCAAGTACTGTTTCAAGAGTGATCCCGGTGTTGGACCACCTTCATAATTCAGGTTCCCAGTACTAGCATACAGTATCTGACCTATCTCATTAAATGCTAATAAAAATTCTAAAATGCGTACCCGATCGGAAAGTATTACTTAGGTGGGGTTGTGATATTGATTACCATGCAACATAATTTCAAGATATTCCGGTTATACCAGGATGCCAGCTGGTAAATAACAAAAACCACGTTGGGTGGAAAAGGACTACCCAAAAGTATGCACTTTTCTACTTGTTTTAGACGTCCCTATGAATGAAAACATACTCTATAAAGGTAATGCAAAGACATTTTTTCTTACACTAATTTAGCAGTAACATGCATGCTCCTTTAATTTGATACTTGTGTGGTGAGGTAACGGATTAATTTACCTTTGACAATTTAGTCCCATGTTCATTGACCGGATTGCTTGTTTGAATGTGACGAAAAACGACACACCTGTACAACCCGCCTTGGGGGCCTGCTTTACTGTCAGCACTGTCGTCAGGTTACTTAACGTTCAAAATGTCTATGTTATTCACTGCTCAGTTTTACTTGTTGTTTTTAAGGCTACGGGGTCGTGAGATATTACTCGTTAATTCGTGAGAACATTACCATCCTCGTCATTGGTGACTCCCGAGGTTAACGCAAACTTTATACCTTTTTACGTCGTACTGAATAATATTTAACGTATTTTTTGTGAATATCTATTCCATTTACGTTTTATTTTCTTGCGAATTCTGATATTTTACAATCTCTGTCTTATTATGTCTCATGCCAACCAACAAATCGATGCCCCTGCTCAGTCCCTTCATGCCATTAATTTTACCTCGCCTGAATTCTGACAACACGCTCCAGAACTTTACTTCATCCGCATAGAATCAGCCTTTTATTCTGCTAACGTTACGAAGGAGCTGGCGAAATACCACAAATCCGTGGAGGTCCTCCCCGCTAGTGTCATCTCTCAAGTTCAGTCCTTGCAAGCTCATCCTCCTGCAGATGCTCCCTACTCCACGTTAAAGGCAGAAATTCTTCGACTTACTTCTGTGTCCGACCGAAAACGGTATCACCAGTTACTTAAGGAGGAGTCACCGGGTGACCGGAAGCCCTCAGAACTTCTACGTCGAATGCGTTCTCTCCTTGGAGACATGCAGGTTGACGATAAATTCGTCAAGGAGATGTTTCTAGAGCGTCTGCCTGCCGATGTTCAAGCGATCCTGGCGTCCAGTTCTCAAGATCTCACGGTCTCACATTTGGCTGAAATTGCTGATCGAATGATAGAGGAGCAGCGGTTCCAGTCACCTTCCGTTGCCCAGATCTCATCCTCATCGTCAGTGAATGATCATTTAATGAAGCTGGTGTTGACCATGGCGAATGAGATGGTTTCCCTTAAACTACAGCCCGCCCGCCTTACTTCCAGTCGCTAACGCAGCCGTCGTCGTTCTCGTTCTCGACCTCGGACTGCCGATACTTGTCGGTATCACCTTAATTTCGGCGTAAAGGCCCGTTGCTGTTCCTCACCCTGCTCTTTTAAGCCGAAACAGGGAAACCAGTCAGCCAGAGAATAGATGCGACCGTTTCCCTAGCTCTTCCGGCTCTGGTCGCACCTTCTATGTTTGCGACACTGCGACTCGCAGACGTTTCCTGATGGACACTGAAGCCCAAATCAGCGTTGTTCCCCCAACTGCAGCTGATCGTCGTTTCCCTAGCCCTAGTCTTCACCTACAAGCTGCCAACTGTTCCTCCATTCCCACTTTTGGCAGTCTGTCCCTCACCCTGAACGTTGGCCTTCGTCGGTCATTCACCTGGATCTTTGTGATTGCTGATGTCCCACATGCAATCGTCGGCTCGGACTTTCTTGCCGAGTTCGATCTCCTTGTTGACTGTCGACGTGTCTGTCTCCTCGACCACACAACCGGTCTGTTTGTTCGTGGACTAACTTCCTTTACTGCCCCCATCAACTTATCTGTCTTGAATGCGAATATTGTTAACCCCTTTCGGCAACTGCTTCTTAGTCACCCCAACATAACTAAACCCAGTTTCGCAGTGGTGAGGTTCAACATGATGTTGTGCCCCATATCCGCACCTCAGGTCCTCCTGTGTTTGCTCGGCCGAGATGAGTAGCATTGGAACGTTTTCAAGCCGCAAAGGCGGAGTTTAAACACATGCTGCAACTGGGAATAATTCGACCGTCTGAGAGTCCTTGGGCGTCCCCACTGCACATGGTGCCCAAGGCGACATCAGGCGACTGGCGACCCTGTGACGACTATCGAGCCCTCAACAGCGCTACCTTTCCTGATCGATACCCCGTGTCTCATCTTCAGGACTTTGCTGGAGCCCTTTTCGGCAAAGCGGTTTTCTCGAAGAGTGATCTGGTGCGTGCTTTTCATCAGATTCCAGTCGCCCTAAAACCGCCGTCACCACACCCTTCGGTCTCTTCGAGTTCATCCGCATGCCGTTCGGTCTTCGTAATGCCGCCCAAACGTTCCAGAGGTCCATCGACCATGTCTTACGTGGCCTACCCTTTGTGTACGCCTACATTGATGACCTCTTGGTTGCCAGCCGGAATGAGGAAGAACACAAAGAACATCTTACCTTGGTGTTTAACCGCCTTGACAAGTTTGGAGTTGTCATCAACCCCTCCAAGTGCGTGTTGGATGTGCCTTCGCTCGAGTCGGTCGACTCTGAGAGTTTGCGTCCCCTCCCCTCCAAGGTTGAAGCAGTTCGTAATTTCCCTCCACCAACTTCCAAGCGTCAGTTGCAGCGATTCCTCGGCATGGTCAGTTTTTACCGCCGGTTCCTACCGAACTGTGCTGACCTCATGTTGTCGCTCACCAACATGCTTTCTGGTGCAAAAGGTCCCCTCGAGCTGACTGGAGAAGCACTAACTGCTTTTGACAGAATGGAGAATTCCCTTGCCGACGCCACCTTACTCACGCATCCCGCTCCCGAAGCTCAGCTGTCCCTGATGGTAGATGCTTCGACCGTAGCTGTAGGTGCAGTCTTTCAACAAAACCTTGCTGGTTCGACTCGACCACTTGCTTTTTTCTCCAAAAAGCTCTTACCAGCTTAGACACGCTATAGTACCTTTGGCCGTGAACTACTTGCCATTTACCTGACTGTGAAGCATTTCCGGCATTTCTTTGAAGGTCGGGACTTCAGTGTTTTCACGGACCACAAACCGTTGACTTTTGCATTTCGTTCCCACTCCGACAAGTACACTGCGAGGGAAATCGCCCACCTGGACTATATCTCCCAATTCATCACCGACATCCGCCACATTAATGGTACTAAGAATGAGATGGCTGATATGCTGTCCAGACCCTCACTGCCTTCCCTCCAACTTTCACATAGGATTGATCTTTGCGCCATGACGGCTGAGCAACAGCGAGTCGCTTGTCCTGGTGACGAGTCTGTTAGTGGTCTCCAACTCAAAGACATTCCTCTGACCACCGGCTCTGGTACCATACTTTGTGACGTCTCGATTCCCTTTCATCGCCCTTTCGTGCCCGCCTCCATGCGTCGAGCTGTATTTCAAACTGCATGGACTCTCACCCTGGTATCCGAGCCTCTCGAAACCTCCTCGCGGAAAGGTTTGTCTGGCCTGGCATGAAAAAGGATGTCAAAGCTTGGATCCGGTCGTGTCTGAGCTGCCAACGCAACAAGGTGCAGCATCACAACAAGTCCCCACCAGGCACTTTCCCCACTCCCGACGCACGGTTCAGCCAATGTGCACCCGGATGTCGTAGGCCCCTTGCCTCCGTCCAATGGTTTCACCCACCTCCTTACCTGTGTCGATCGATATACCCGCTAGGCTGGAGTCATTCTTTTGCCGAATGCGCAGGCTGAAACCATCGTGAAGGCCTTCGTCAGTCGTTGGGTCGTCATGTTCGGTGCCCCAGTCACGGTTACGACTGATCGTGGTGTCCAGTTTGAGTCGGAACTCTTCCAAACGCTACTGAATTTCCTTGGCTGCACACGCATTCGAACGACAGCCCACCACCCAGCTGCCAACAGTGGGGTTGAGCGTTTCCATCGCCAACTGAAGACCGTCCTGTCTGCCGTAGAAGACCCAGGAAACTGGTCGGACAACCTTCCACTTGCAGTCCTCGTCATCCGCGCAGCTCTGAAGTCGGATCTGAGCTGTAGTGCAGCTGAATTGGTTTTTCGGCACTACTATCCGACTGCCAGGCGAGCTGGCCACCCCAACCTCTCGTGTGGTCGACGAGACTCCTGACAACCTTGTGCACCGTTTGCGGCAATTTATGCGCTCGCTTTCCCCGCTCCATCTCGAATTCCAATGACTGAGTCTTATGTCGAAGAAGGCTTGGACAACTGCACTCATGTGTTCATCCGATGTGATCGTGTGCACCAGCCGCTGGAATCACCATACAGAGGACCGTTCCGCGCCAACGCCAAGACCAGCCGAATTCTTCGCGGTGACAAGGAGGACGTGGTCAGTGACGATCGGATCAAGGCTGCTGTTGCAGACGAGTTGCGGACCTGCACAAGGACGAAAATGTGCTGACCCCCTAATCCCCGCTAATTCACCCTGCCCACTGCCTCGCTCTTCCCCTCCCTTGCCCTCCACCCCTCCGTCCCGCATAATTCCTCTCTAAACATGTCTACAACATCCAACTGCAACATCCTCCTCCACCATAGCGCGCAGTCAACCCTTTTCGACTGTACCTCCTGCTTACATCACTCGCAGTGGCCGTCACGTTCATTCCTCCGATCGTGTAGTTACGCATATCCTCCGGCGCCGTACTACGTCGCCCTCCGGTCTGGTAAGGGGGTACTGTGATGAGGTACCGGACTAATTTATCTTTGACAATTTAACCCCATTTTCATTGACCGGATTGCTTGTTTGAATGTGACGAAAAACGACACACCTGTACAACCCGCCTTGCTGGCCTACATTGCTGTCGCGCTCTGTTGTCAGGTTACTTAACGTTCAAAGTCTCTTTATTATTCACTGCTCCGTTTTACTTGCTGCCTTTAAGGCTAGGGGCTCGTGAGATATAACTCATTAATTTTTGAGAACATTTCCATCCTCGCCACTTGAAGGAAAGGTAGCTTTAGGTTTAAAAGGCTATAAGTACGATATTTTTAAAGGCATTGAAATGTTCATTCCTACAGAATCCAGTCTCTCACTTTATTAACGCTGTTTTTGATGTACGGAACACGATCCCCATTCACCTTAAAAAAGACAGCTTCTGAAAACGTATATGCATGTAAAATTTTCTTTTCGCAGGAAGAATACAAAATATAGTTTCCAAACCCTAAGTGAAAAAGTTATCGTGCCAGGTTCAAGATTATTCGGTTATTAAAAAGGTTTCTGAAGCCCAGACAAGCCCTATCTTAATTTGTAAGAGTTAAAGATGGCGTAACGTTCAGCCGGACGACTATAAAAAGAATCCTTTTGTGAATGTTTTTTATCAGATATACTTGCATTTGTAGGAAAATCGGAAGTTGGTGGAGAAAATTCACACCACTTAAGTACTTATTTTTATCCAGCTTGATTTCTGCGGTGAACGAAACGAAATCCATTCTAAGGTTGCATCTTGGCATGACGGAAATATGTTGGGATTATGTTTCATGATAATCAACCATACAACCCCACGTAAGAAATCCTCTCTGATCGAAAGCACATTTAAAAATTTCGGTTAACATTTTACGAGATGTACCTGATACTGCAAGTTAGGCCTTGTAAACCATACTTCCGGAGGGTTTTGCAGGAAGCCTACCAAAATCACTTAGGGTTAATGTTTCATAAAAAGCCCTCTTGTTTTAGCAATGCAGTGGATTACAAGTAAGACGTTCCATGTTATGTCAACAGCAAAAGAGTTAGAAGAATTCAAGAGACAGAGATAGATTAAGCAGAAAAATACCTGCATTTACATGGTTAGTTTATGCCAACACCCCTTTTAGCGCCCAAATTTCAATTCACCCAAACCACTAACAGCCTATTGCTTAAGTGTTCAGATAACCCAACTTTTTACTTAAATCTCCCGTTTTTGTCTTTTACACTGGTTCACTGGCGTATGCCGACCGTAAAATCCCAGTGGAAGACTGCTAGCAGAGGGCGGTCTCAGCGCCCGGGCCTCTCACCACTCGGCTCTGTCTTTGTGGTTGTGCTCTGCTACCTCCGAACACCAAACGTTCTCTCCTGGTTGGTCACTCTATTCTAGCACACACGCAACTGCAGCCTTTGGGATGCTTGTCTCCGAATCCAGCTTGTGATGAGTAATGTGGAGTTTTTGGTTGCTAACTTAGTTCAGTGAAGTAAATTTAACAGTTTGTGCTCAAGTTTCCTTGAAATTGTGGTTGTGAGTGTGTGTGTGTGTGTGGAGAGCAACGTGGCGCGTGCAAACAGGCAGGCGATCATCGATCCGCGTCAACACTACTTTTCATTGGATGCCTTTCAACCACCGTCCACCCCCTGATCCGCAGCTCTCGGCGACTGCATCGTCCGTCCATGAGATCACACCGCTGGCCTACGCCAGTGTGGCCTGGAGTTTTGGCCGTCCTACATTAAGCAACTTGGACGAGCCAGGGGAACTACAGAGCCTCTAGTTTTCTGTCCAAAAATATTCTGCATCTTCAACATTTGCCTGATTAAGCGCGGTAGTGGTTTCAATAAATTAAGTTAATTAGTATGCGCACACACCAACTCCTTACGTGTTTTCACAAATGGTTCAAGTAGACGACCGGCCCAATTAGCCAGCTACCCGGCTATTCATGTGCACCGGGCGTAAACTTTAAAAGGGTTCCTGTGGAACACGAGGGTATAAAGTGGATTCCGACCCAAACAACCTCATCGGCTGAAACATTAGACACGATTAGACGACTTTCTCGATTACTGAAATGTATAACCGAACTGTGGCATTAACAATGATCAAGCAGCGGGGAGGAAGTTATCAGTTGGTGCCAGAACTGCTGTCGTAAGTCCAATCGACTCTTAAGCTTCATTTCTTTTTCGCTGGTCTCCACGATCCCACCGCATGGCGGGTCCTGCGCTCGAGAGGACGCACGGCTGGCCGGTTGGTGTGACCTGGAGGCGCACATGATCTGAACGGATCACCTGACTGAAGTTGTGGTCAGCAGAAATATTCAAATCTATCTAAAACGCTGGTAATCCTCTCAGTCATGTGGTTCCGAGTTCCGATTTGGTAAAACCATTGAATTAATGAGGCAAGACGATTGCTCTAATCAGCGCAGTAAACTCCCAGCTTAGTATTACATTTGACCTGAGTGAACAGCCGGCTCATTTAAATGGTGACTCGCAAAGACGGAATATACAGTGGTTTCAACTCCTGCTGTCGGCAAGGGTATGGTTTACATCCGGGGTGACTTTCTCGGGGGAGCAATTGGGTTGAGGAAAAGAGCAGAACATCCGAGAACTTTGTGGTATCACGAATTCTGACCCCCCATACTGTCACCAATCAAAAGGGAACACTAGGTTTATTAGACTGAGCTTGCGATCTCGTACAGGAGGCCAACGTCAGAGACTGTGAGAATGCGACATCAAATGAGCAGTTTTTGTAGTCAAGCGACGAAGGGGGGGGAGAGATATGAGTGCAGAGGGTGGTATTCGCGATAAGCTGAGTCCCACACCGTCTCACGGTGGCGTGACTGCGTGCACCCTTGTCTGGAAATTGGGTCTCGCCTCTTGGCCGCGGGAACGGAGCGCGTGATAGCAGGGGGGGTATGTCAACGTGTCTGTTGATAGAGTTGGTGTCAGACATCCAGGCCTCTAACAGTTCTCGTCCTGTCTTATTGTTGGCCCGCGTCACTATCCGTGTGCTCGCGAAGTTGAATTCGTGGCCTTCCTCCAGGATGTGAGTGGCGACCTGAGACAACGGGTCGCCTCTCCGGACCGCCCGTTTGTACTCCGTTATTCGTGAGGTAAGTCGTCGTCCGGTTTGTCCTGTGTAGTGGCGAGGG